CAGAAAGGGATATCATGCGACCAAAGTAAGCATGGAATTTTTGATCTGACATGTAGCACAATACTTCTTGAGAGTGGCCTGAAATGCACTGGGCTAGCGACTGACTAGAGGCTCCGAATTTGCCTACTGTGGCACGTCTTTAGTCAGTTTGTCTTGTAATAAGCTGTGCTATTTCTCAATACCTTTCACACGTCTTGTTACTCACTCTCATGCCTCTGTAGCCAATCATTTTTCTTGCAGTCGGTAATCATGCATTAATGAAATTTAAATCCACGAAACCCGTAGTGTCTCGAAATTTGTCGTATATTTCTGGTCATCTCCTTCATCGTTGGTTGGGGCAGCTCAGTTGCTTGATAATTTTGACAGTTTTTGTGACAAAAAAAGTTGGAAAAGTAGTATTTTTTTACATGGACATAATAAGAGTTTTCTCGGTGTATACACTGGTATTTGTGGATGCCACGGCAGATTAGCGTGGCTCTAGCTTGAGCCCTGAGACTAGCTGCAGGACGTCAGTGAGGCACCTTGTCGACTCTCGGACCGCTTTTTCGCAGTCTTCGCTGGTGACAACCGCCATTGCGTCAATTAGAAGACGTTCCAGGCACCGCAGCCGCTGATTGTCGTCGGTGGAGCCGCCGGAGGGAAGGTGGGCCTCTCCAATAAGCAGCCTCTCCTTCACCGTCTCCGTGACCTTGGCCCAGTAGGCCTCGCATGGATTTAGTCGGTCGGTGTGCAGCGGGGCCAACCGGAGCCGCAGGGGGTCCGCGGTGTCTTGAGACTCGCACACAAGGACTGCGTCCTCCAACCGAACTGGCTGGAGGTGTTCTTGTATCCACGACTCCTGATCTTCTTTCGTGTAGGGTCCTCGTTTGAACGATGCGTGTAAAAGGCCGAGATTTGAGGAGATGGCGGCCAGTGTGTGGATGTGAAGCTCCTGCAGACGAGAAACTGACTTGCGGGTGTGCAGATTAAAAATGGTTCCTCCTAAAATAGGCACAGCGAAAACGCTCACTGTAGGTGGGACTCTTGGTGTGGTCTCGGACTACTACTTATACCTTTTATTTTTGCACATCTCTGCAGCAAATCACATTGCATGGAGTCGGCAATCACGCAGTTCTGAAATTCAAATCTTTTAAAGCCCGCTGCATTTTCCCTCATGGCATTTTGTTCTTTAGATTACATATTCAAGTCATTCCTCTAGTATAATTTCTTCTTAACATCACTCATTTTACTGTGAACTTTAATTTGTTCTCAAAAAATGAAACTGTGACAAGAACGTTTCTTTGTATGTTATTTTTAAATGGTTTATGAACTCGCGAATGCAAATGCAGTACGCGCAAATCGCTTTTAAAGCCTGCTTCGATTGTATCTATCAAATGTGGAAATGTAAATATAATATCAGAGGCCTATCAAAAAAATCCGCACTCAATCTACTAAAAACCGAACTCATTCTCCGACCATCCCCTAGAAATGAACTTGTGCGTTAGACTGCCTGCTTTCCAGAAGGCGTTGGGCGGCGCAGTTTTATCTTGTCGGACATATCCTGAGTTGGTGGTGGCAAATTTGTTTGGCATGATTAAAATGTGACTGCATACGCAAAATTGGAGTGCTGAAAATGAAGGAGGGTCACGGGGCAGTTGTGACGCCCTCATTGCGTCATGTACGCTTGGGTTACGCAGAAAGATTGCGGCGTAAAGCAGTCAATGCACAAAATTGAAACAAGAAATATTCAGTTTGACACAAAAAAACTGGGTATTACGGCAGCAACGGTAACAGGTGCATAGCTCGTCGGAGTATCCATCGTTTACGTCAGTGGGTTTGATCCCTTTCTATGCATTGCAGCAATTTTCGTTAAGCAGCTCTTTTGTGATTTATTCAATTCATTGGATGTAAAACCAGGTAAAGGGATTTGTATCCAGGTCACATACTACTAACGCTGTTAACGTTGATTACAGCGCATTATCTAACAATCAAGCGCAAGTATAAAGCCAATGTAATATTTACTGTAGGTTTTCCATTAAATTCTCAGAATAGTAGTAGCTTGTGCTAACTTAGCTCCTTAATGGTTTACTCGCGTAAGCTCGTTACATCCTGGACTTAAACTGCTTTAAGACTAATCCGCTAAGCACACCATTGTGTAGAAAATATGGCACGAATTTAGCACCATGACCCTTCAAAAAGCAGTCAGCATTCAGTTCTCAAGAAAAAACATTCGATTTCGCTAATAATTGGTAGTAAATTTTATTTGAACTCGATAAATTGCTCGAGGAATTTGTCTGCAAGATACCTGATTCCTGTAAAATCGCTTAAATTGGCAAACCATTGGCCGCCGAAGAAGTTCCCCACTTACCACAATATCTTAGTTTTTATAAATTAAGCTTGTCTAAAAGTCTACATCAAGTGTTGGAATTTAAATAACGCGCAATTTGTTATTTGCATGCGTTAGCCTTATAGAGCAAAGCGAGCAAATAATTTCTGTGGAGTGTATGTTAATCTATACATCGCTCAAACATCGCAATTGTGTAGATTAGTAATAAATCAAATTAAACTTTCCCTCAGAAATCTTTCTTGCAATGTTGTTTTAGACAAGAAAGACAAGGAAATAGAAGCAAATAGACGAACATTATTGCTCATAGCTGTCTGTCACACTTTCAAATTCATTATCTGATAGGAATTCCGCTTCATTTAACTTTGCCTTCACACATAATTTGGGTTGCCTAATTATTTTTGTATTTGTACGAAATAATTTCCAGCAATCTGCATATGTGACATTTTTAATAAAATTTGTGGCAATCGAGGTATTAGCCTTAAACTCATATTTACTACACGTTTTATTTTGCATTTTGTTAACATTTTTGAATTAACTAAAGAGTTTGAAACATGTTTAGTTAATCTACCTTCGTCGCAAAACAGCCGCACTACAAATTAATAAACTATTAAAATATAGAGCGTCGGGAAAGAAAATTTAGTACAAACAACGCACACCACAAAAGATTCCTACTTCATCATTTTGACTTAATAAATCTGTTGAATGAATGACAAGACTGTTTGCTGCATTGTAAAGTTTGTTTAATCATAGGCCTTAAATGAGGAAAGTGGACGCCATTTACCAATCTGTTCTGTAATTATGCTAACTGATCGGCGTGAAATGAAACACAAGTTAGCATGCGTGCAAGCGCTTATATGTAAAGGTACAGATATTCCAGAATTTATTCAATTTCTGACTAAGGCAAATGTTGGCATCTTTCAAAACGCGGAGACGAATAATCGGCTATTCATATTAAAGTCATTAAAACTTTATGTCAAGACAGTTTAAAGATAATGATTGCCTTTAAAAAAATCTACCTCTTACATAGTACATTGCTTGCGATATTTAAAATCAATTTAGCTTGGTGTTTCAATCCACTGCCAACTTGACGCCAGACTCAAAATCGTCTTGGTGTGTAGCGGCCCTCTGAGTCCATAGTTCGTACAGTTTAATGGCTGATTTACAGAAGAGCGTCCTCAATTAATTTTTTTCAGGTTTTACCGATAAATTAATTAATCATTTTCGCTAATCTGAGTTTCCTTTATTCGACGATGTGATCATGTGTCTTACTAAATTTTCAGCCACACATTTGCCCTCTGCGACCTTTGACATACTTTAAAAGACGATGCTGTATTCAACCTATTCGTCTGTAAATATTCTGAATGGTTGTTTCCTTTGAAGCCATTTGGCGGATATTTTTTAATCTGTTGGTTCTTCCTGAGCGCATTGGAAGATTACCCAGCGTCATAAAGCACTTAGTGTTGACAGGGAAAATAAGGTTGCTAGTACATAAAATGAAAATGGAATGATTACGAGGCAAAATCTTGTCCCGGGTTCGTGACAGGTTTATCGATGTTGATCTCAATCCATGTGGCTTTAATTGAACATAAAAATAGTAATGTCGGGCCATTATCGGAGGGTTTATGACTTGACATCATCCTTTTCGGAGAGTTTCATGCGTATGCCTAAAAGGATTTGCGTGCAGACTAAATTTTTAATTTTTCTTATTTTAACATATCTTATGAACATTAGGCTTTGGTATAATAGACGTCACGCTGCTCCCTTGCAAAACTCTGACTCCCCATTTCTTTACTCCAGGTCGACTCAAAAGTGTGTGTACCGTTGTCGGTATAAGTCTTCCTAAGATGTCTTATTAGTCTAATAGCAGTTAGCTTCCCCTGACTAGGGTCGGGTAAACTTCGTTTTTCATGACGGCAGTCTGGTTAAAAAAATTGTAAATCGTCATAACCATCACAAGTAATGAAAGAGCAGTGCTATTTTTCTCGTGGGTTTTTATGGCTGGAGTGAATAACAAATCATCCACAAATACTATTAAATGTGAGCTGAACTTTGGCTACTTTAAGCTATCGGTCAAAGTCCTCCCCAAATCGCAGGTTCGTTCACTGTAGTTATCGTGAAAATATTACTTGTTCTTTTGTTATATGTCAACTGTGCATGTAATTCGAGGTCAAATTCCAGGATTGAATTGTTTTTCTGCTTCATAACATGAATGACACTTTCTCACCTCTTTGTGACAAATGAGTGTCCATTTCATACTGTAACATACATCTCAAATTGTGTAGGTTTTGGTATTCTGGATATATTATTATTCCTACTGTTTTATTTTAGGTGAATGTCAGAAAAAAAACCTTACCTATTACCAAATTTCGTTTCATTTTTGTAATGTTTTTGCCTGAATAAATTCCTCCAATTTATTTTGACCTTATAATATATATTCTTATATGATTTTCATGAACTTCACAAACAACAGGCAGGACCAGGCTTTCGTACGCGCTTTAAGCTTTTATCAAGTGTGTTCTATGTTGAGAACTTTCATTCAGGCCCCGTTGTGTATATTTTATTGAACCCGATTAGGTAATTAGGCGTATACGGGAAATCGTTTAAAACTCAGGTTGATACCATTTGGGGTAGTTTAGCTAACTTCCGTAGTTTTAGCTATTTATCCGCCGAAAAGATGGCAATTAGCCCGAGGGCGATCCGCGGTATTGAACAACGTCAGACTTACGTATTTATCGACTCGTATTTTTTCTTTTTGCTCTCAGCCACACGTCTAAATGTCGTGTAATCTAACAGAGGCCGAGGAACGAAAACGAGTTTTCAAGTTTTACAAACAATTCCCAGATGATGCCTCAAGATTGGACGAAATCGAAATGAGTCTGAGTGCTTTCGTGAAAACAAAGACATGTCAAAGTAAAACTAAATTTTAGTATATATCGTACAGGCCCTGATGTAGCTTTCTTTACCAGCTCATTTCCCTTCCAATACAACTTAGATGAAGGTAAGAGTAGAATTGGTGACTGTTCCAGGCCTCAAGAATTCTTTATTTTTCGCGGGGCTGTGTCCGAATCCGTCGTACAGTCGTTATATGAAGAAGCACTCTTCGCTTGGCCACCCGCGGATTACGCAAAGTCTAATCTTCCTAACCCCATATCTGATGCAAAGACCTGGCTAAGGGGTTTCGTCGAGTAGGGCTATTCGTGCAAGTTATCGTTTTTTAGGCCATGGAAGTATAGATTCCTGGACCAACTCCGATGGGTGACTCTTGGGTATCATTATGATTGGGCCAAGAAAGTGTACCCTGATAACTGCTGCGGTAGTTTTCCTACAAAACTTGCAGTCTTTTACAAATCCGTGGCATTGACCGTGGCTGAAGAGATCAGGCACGAAGATGGTCTTTTGACTCACCCTTCTTGCTACACTACATTCACTCCTGAAGCCTCTATTGTTAATTATTACCGGAAAAAGACTACGATGGGATTTCATATTGATGATACTGAAGTTTCAAAGCTCGCTCCTTTGATTTCTGTCAGGTAAATTGGCTAACTTAATATAACCTAACTGGTGACCAAAGTTTAGGTAGACCAGCAATTTATCTTTTGGAGGCCTCAGGGTATATTCCGGGATCTCTCCCCCATGGCAATTCTGAGGAAGTAACAAGAACAATCATCCCGATTCTCCTTCGACACGGTGATATTATGGTTAGCGGTGGTCATAGTCGGCTAGCCTTTCACGCGGTCCCTCGTCTACTGTCATGGGAGCGCGCATCACTTGACTTGCCGACTAGTTTTTTCCCGAACCTTTTGTCCAAGTTTCTGGAAATGCTTGGAGATGCCTGCGAGCCTTCAAGTCTTCGTGATAATCTTGAAAGCTACATTTATTCGACACGTCTTAATATGAATGTTAGGCAAGTTAATGAACACAGTGTAGTGCAGTAATCATGGTGAATATAAATATGTTCCACCCATTTGAAATCCCAAATTTCCGATTTTGTTTTTCTCTCAGGCGTTTACACGGTGAAAGTCATTCGATAGCATACTTACTTGCGGGTCATTTTTATTGTAAAGCAAATCATTTGGAATGTGTTCAGTTAAGGATTTGTGCGTTTAAAACTCCCTTTCAGATTTGGCATTTTTAGCGAACAGTGTCATTTAGGTGGTTTAGCATAGCGCACTACCTTATTCTGATCCAGTACCTTCGCAAAGCTTTACGAGCCTTTCTTTTTCACACACAAGCTCTTGAGCTGACCTCTCAAACTCTAATACTGCCCAGTCAGCAAATGGTAAGTGAGTGATTATTTCAGGGTTGCCCCTTGGCTGAGGAATTGTAACGGGATATCCAAAGAAAATATCCTTTGCCACTCCATATTCACCATTGCTGTACACAACCATTGAAGTCCAATCCTACACAAAAATAAGGATTAACTCGTTTAACTAAGACCGGTACTGCAATTATAGGCCCCTCTTTCTACATATCTTATAAAGTGTCCCAACAGTAGCGACAGATGCGTAGTGTATTTCAGTGTATACTTATTTATTGTTTGGAGTTAATGTGGTGGCTCAAACATCAACTGGCAGTTCTATGATGTATCTCGAGGTAATGCACTTTCTAATTCTTACGGTGGCCTATCCCAAACGCGTAATCTCATTGCAGCATGCCTCACAGAAAACTGAAACGTGATTTGGACTTTGTCGTATAAATGGAGGAACACATTGACTTACAAAACGCATTTTACTTGCAACTTAAAAGCCTCACAAGTAGGTTTTGCAGTAATAATCCATTAAATCATGTAACGAAATATGCCTTACCTCGCAAGTACCGAGCCATAAATCATGAACATGTTCGACAATAGCTTTCGCCTTTAGAATAGCAACAGCATCTGCCGGCATGTTTTCAGAACACTTTTCCCGTAAGTGTGGTATGAAGGTGTGCTTGATCCAGTGGTCGTTTTTCATTAACTCTACAGCAGATGTAGTTTTACCGTTCTCCATTTGTATGTTAGAATGCATCATGTCAATGTATGCAAAAGGTCCTGCTTTCCCCCAAACCACAACGTTTTTAACTGTTTCAACTGGAACCTCAAGCTTTTTGGCGATCTAAAGTCAAATTAAAAGCAGTGCTGTTAGGTAGGGTGGGTACCTCCAAAGCTTAAGGATTTTAATACCTGATTTATTGCTCGATTTTGATCCATTCGTAGAAGTCCAGTGAAACAACTTTTCGGTAATGAAGGGGCATATTTACTCATTATGTAAGCATTTAGATTAACTGGATCACCAGCTGCAATTACTTTAATTGTTTGTTTGCCATGTTTCTCAAGAAATTCAGCGTGGCCTTTATAAATTTTCAAGCATTGTTTTTGTCTTTCGGTCTCAGAAAGTGATTCCCCAAATTCGACAGTATCTAACATTATGGCAACATCAATATCCCTAAAAGCAATGTCAGGATCGGTGATAGCAACAATGTCTTCCAGAGGCAGCTCAGCGCTATCCATCAACTCATTAACCAAAGCTTTTAACTTTGGTGTTTTGTGGGGTAAATCTAGCATTCTTATCACAATTGGCTGCTTCCGACCAAACATCAGTCCGCGTCCGATTAAACTTGCCAGATCGTAGGCTTCAGGTCTAGTTGCTGAAGAGATCAGCACAGTGATTGCATCAACCTGTAGAAAATGGAGACATTTTATAATTGTGTACCATTGTAGCCACAGGGAATTTTGGCGTAATTCCCAAAATATGAACCATTAAAACAATTTTAAGGACTTTGATCCACCGAAAATGAGTTTGCAAATCATCCTATAATAAAAATGTTTCTAGGGCTAAAATTTAATTCCACTGGTTTATTTCAGTCATTAGGTTATTTTTATCACCAATTTTTTTTAACTATTCTGCGTTTTGTTGACTAGTGTGCAATTCCCGATTGCCAATCTAATTTCCATTCACTGTTACTTGTAGACTTTTTTAAATTTTCGTTTATTAAAATGTGCTGGTTCTTAAAATATGCTACGTATTTTTCACAAAATATGCTAACGGTAATGATGACTAGGGAAATTTCATAATTTTATTTGCTATAATCAATCGAATAATTTACATGTCATGTTCACAAAGCAGCGCGATATTTTTCTGATTATATTTTCTCTGTTTTTACCTTTGTTTACCTACGAAACTCATAGCTTGTGTATTTAACTCCGGAATAGGCAACCAAATGCCTTTCCGATAATTTATCCCTACTTGTGTTCCATATTAATCTTCTGAATGTAATCCCTTGAGTGTTAAGCGGTTTTTCTTATCTCTATCACCAAGTAGTCTGTGTAAAAGATAATATGGCCATCTCGTCACCAAAACAAGCCTTTTTTTCTAAAATAATTTTCTTAGCCTTCAGGTCGTAGTTGAGATTTTGCAATCCCGTGTGATCTTCTGCGGAAAGTCAGTATTATAGTTCTGTACGTACTTGCAACAAAACTTTAGTTTCTAATCGTATCCTAAAGCTGCTTTAGTTATTGGCTGCAGTGATCTAGTTGGGACTTCAATTTACTGAGAATGGTTCGTTTGAACAATGGCTGAGACTCATAGATCTCAATCGATATGAAGCACTTCTTAAGGAGTGAATTTGCTGTCAGTTTTCTTTAATCAAAATACTGAGTTAGTCACCCAAAAATGAATCACTCCAAATGCAGCAACAAGCTCGCTCAAAGGGACATAACCGTTTTTCCTAGCACGCTATGACTTTTAAACATCAATCTTTATGTTTTTGCTTATGTAGATACTTCAGATTTTCGAAATTAACCCATAACCCGGACACCATTGAATCTACAAACTTCAAATGTCCTAAAAATGTGATTTTAACCATTTGACATTGAGCAAAACCCCATTATCAGGACTATGAATAAGATAGTGAGTTTCAATAACGCAATTATGAGCAAGTATATATGATTTTATTATGAAAAGTATTAACGAGACTTCATACAGTTGTGATATGAGTAAATATAATGAAAAGTCACTTGGAAACCACAGATATAATGCAGGACGAGAATCGAGTCTCTTCTAGATCATTTTCGACGTCATTAGATTATTGTAGAGACTGGTCAGGAAGGGCTCGGAGCCACTGCTTTCTTCGTCCACCGAACATGCGCGTATTACCTC